AGCTCATAGAGCAGCAATCCCCTACAAGTGGTGGGGGAAAAGTAACTCCAGCCCAACCATCTGAGGAAGGACCAGCAAGGAAAGACGAAAATAAAGTAGATGGAATGAATGTCCCAAAAGGCCAAACTGGGAACCTTAACTGTGGTTCAGGAGAAGGAGGGAGCAAAGGCCATTGGAAGGAGTCAGATAGGAAAGATGGCAAAAGGGATAAAGACTCCAGATCTGCACCTGAGCCAAATAAATCTGAGGAAAATTCAGCTTCCAAGTTCACTTCTGCAAGCAAGTATGCTGCTCTCTTCATTGAAGGTGAAGAGGAAAACAAGGGAGAAAATGACGACAAAAAGACCTCAACATCCAGTGCTTTCTCCTAGTTTCCCTCCACCTTGGAACATTGGAGAGCAAATCAAGCCTCTCTCCAGACAAGACAAAATAAAACTCACTGTCTCCTGGAGACTTTTTTACCTTTAAAAAAAATAATAAAATTATTTTGCATGCTGCTGCAGTCTTTACAGTATTGAAGTAATGGAGAATCACCAGTATAGCCATAGAGAAAGAGAGACTACAGCTTTTCAGCAAAAAAGTTGTGCGCTATGTCACCATGCAGTTGCCAGTGTGATTAGTGTCTAGGGGCTTCTATTTAGCAGAAATGGTAATGACAGTGATATAACGTCTGGAATCTGGTTGGGCAGTAGAGGAGGGAGGTATAAGGAAAAGTGAGATTTCTACCTTTTAGTTTTTATCCTGTTGTGGCATATATGAATTCTCAAACATTATCTGAATAAATTTTCCATTCTTGGAAAGGTATATTTAGCCTCAAGTTGTTTTAGTCTCTAGGAGGCTTCCAGGCCCTCCTCTTATTTAATTCTGAGTTTTAGGGCCCAGACTAGGGAGAATTTCTTTATTTTTTTTACCCCCCAGCAGGGTAGTTGTCAGTAAGTCTGTAGGCCATAAAGAACAGGACTGCATTGGAGCAAAATAAATGGGAAAATTATGGTTTGAAAAGAAGATTTTGGGAGGTGATGCGTCATTTTGCAACAGGTAATAGGGAAAAATTGTGTGACCTCTAACAAATATATGAATGGTTATTTTCTGGAGCCAAAAGAACTTTGAGGTCATAGTAATTTCCAATGTTTTGTGTGTCTTGGTTTTACTCTTTCTAAATACTGTCTTTTTGCAAGTTCAAATATATCCACATTCTTTTGAAATCTTGAAACTTTAAAAATTTAGACGCTTTTCATCATCTTAAGTTCTTCATGCTACTTTTAATCTCCCAAAACTAATCTCTAAGTCACATAGATGATCGCCTGGGTATTTTTCTCTCAGCCATGGAGAGTTATGAATGGAAGAACGCCGGCTTTTCTCAAGCAAATCGGTTTCTTGTCTTTTGGTTCTCACTCCTTGTCTGCTCCTGATGCTTTGACCCCTTTTATAGATCAGAATGCTTTAGAATAATTGATAGTCTTGGGTGGTGAATAAAGGTGGATAAATAGGGACAGGGACAGTTAAATTTGGAGCCTTTCTTACAGTTTTGATGGTTTTTTTCCCCCAAGTTTCCTTCTCCAATGAAATGCCACACCAATTCTTGTTGGATTTATGAGGTGCCAAGACCAATATGTTGTTTTTTCGTTTTCTTTTTTTTTTTTTTTTTTTTAAGATTCCCTTGAGAGAAAAAATTGTAGTGGAGAGAACTATTTAACAAGGTCCTGGTTTCTCTGGCAATACAGTGACTAAACTTGCCTGCTTTTATGTGCATTTTTGTAGGGATCAGCTTAGTAGATAGCATTAGCAGAGAAATGACAACTTGATCTTGGTTTACAGGCCCTTCTCCCTTCAGTCCTAGATGAGGCCCTGTTCAGCCATGCAGGGGTGTTGGTTTATGCATGCTGCAGCAGTGGACATAATGAATACAATTTACCCAGTGGACAAAGGTGAATTTAAATAATTGGTGTGGATTGACTAGTATCTAAAAAGTGGGCTTTTAAAGATACTGAAGATTGAAAGGGTCTTTTTTTTGAAAAGAAAAAAAGAAAACATTTATTGTAGATAATTAAAAGCTAGGTTTTGCCCTCTTCAGGTGTACTCTCCTTCCAAATAGTTGTATCCAAAACTGTTTTCCCTCTCCCCTACCTTGCCCCCCAGTTAAAAGAGAAATGAGGATTGATTAATGTCCCTCTCCTCGATACATGTAAAATTTGTCCAAAAATATCTTCTAGAAAAATAATTTGTAATCAGTAGACTTATTACCTGGGAGATGTCTTGAGATGCAAAATCTCATCCTTTGGGTTTTGGGTTTTTTGTTTTCTTCAAATAAATTTGATCTTTAAAGTGAAAGAAAGAAAAAGAAGAAAGAAAGAAAGAGAAAAGAAAGAGAAAGAGAGAGAGAGAGAAAGAAAGAAAGAAAAAGAAAAAGAAAGAAAGAAAGAAAGGAAGGAAGGAAGAAAAAA